ACAAAGTTTAATCGATCAGACATTTTTCTATTTTTAGATTTTTTTTGTTATTTAATTAACCCCTCGAGTACTTAAATTAGTTGAAGATTTTGATGCATATAATATAACGAATTTAATTTGTTGCTATATGGATTGATATACAAAAGTAATACATTTTATTTGAAATATATTTATATTGATGATATAATTATATTTTTGCAACAACATTTCAATTAAAAAATATGAATAATTATATAAATAAAAGAAAATAGAAATATTTTATATATAATAGGTCTACCGGAAAATTCTGTACGTTCAAACAAACATCAGTTGAATTTTTCGTCATTAGGGGGTAAGGAGGCCCCATTTCTTAAAATGGAATATATAAATTGCCACCATGTTGACAAGAGTTCAAAAGTAATTAAATTAATTCATTGTTCAAATAATGAATAATTTATTATTTCATTTTATTTTATAAGCTTCTTAAATTCAGATGACGAATCTTCCTAGTCAAATGTACACAAAAGGTTAACCTATCAACCGGGGAATTCCCTTTTAAATTATGCACCTTTTTTTTATTATTTATTTTTTCGTTTATTTATATATAAAGTACAAACCTTTGTACTTTTAGTTTTAAATATAATACGTTTGACGTATTTATACGTCCAGTTCGGTTAACAGGTTAATTCCATGTTTAAAATCTAATGTTTCAAATAAAATACCAACTGTGTGACAGTGTTTAAAATCGTATTGTTCTTTCTTAAATGTAATCTAAATATATGCAAACCGCATTCCATTTCCGTTTCATACTAAACTCAATTTTAACTTCCGTCAATGAGAGAATTTTAACGAGTTACAAAAAAACGAGAAAATTATATATCTTGTTCATTTTTTTGTTTTCTAAAAATAGAATTCGTCATAGTTTTGGAATGTAACATTTCTGTATTAATTGAAATAATAAAATTGACTGGTAAAAGTTGTTACAATATATGGGGGTGACTCATAAAAATTATCGTTGGTTATATATTGTACGGATATCAAGTTAAATATATTATAGTTTTAAGATAAAAAAGGAAAGAAAGAAGGAAAGAAAGAAAGAAAGAAAGAAAAAGAATTCAAGAAAATAATTCTAATCTCTCTAACAGCTGTTTCAGATCTAGGATTAGAAAACCCCCCCATCTTCTTTTTTTTCTTTAGTTTCATATAGGAACAAGCTGACAATTTCATCTGTTTTCTATTAACGGCAACTAAACCTAAAACGACAAAACTCTCTCTCAGTTATTTTTTATTTATTTTTTTTTTTTTTTTTTGAAATTTACTTCCTCATCATCATTTAAGTTTCCATATGTGTTTTTCTAATTGCAATAGTCCCATGTAGTTTTATTTTGTTTGAAATCTATTTTAACGGTAACTTAATTAGATATGACATGACACGTTGAGAGAGAGAAAAAAAAATAAATAAATAAGGAAGTTTTTCTAGAAAATAGGATTTCCTACATCATCTCATCATCATCGTCAAGAGAGGTAGTTCTTTTCATATATGAAGGACATGTTAGTTTATTTTATTGGTATAATAGGTTCATCGGAGAAAACCAGTCGTGTAGGACAACCTAGGAAAGTTATTTCTTTTCATCCCTGTTAACTATATAGTCAAGAGAGAGAGAGAGAGAGAGAGAAAGAAAGAAAGAAAGAAAGAAAGATCATGTATCTTTTCTATATAACTGGTTTTCCTAAGAGATCCTTCCGTACTCTGTAATATAGCGATACACTTGTAAAAGGTTTCATATTTATTCCGGTTTTATAATCTACAAGGGGCAATGGGCTCTCCAAGTTTCACGAAGCTCGTTTATGTTTATTATTTTTCTTTTTCTCTTTCTCTCTCTCTCTCTCTCTCTCTCACTTCTACTTACGAAAAGTAAACTATTTTTGTATACTTAATACCAATTATACCTGAGAACTTTGTATAATCAAGTAAACCTTGTAATACTGGACAAGGAAGACTGTGAAAAGGTAGCATTCGTGTTTCACGTTGACTTAACTTGTTATTCGGATCATGATTCGTATAAATATTAGGTTGACCAATAAATAATGTCAGAATTTATAATATATAATTTATGTTTAAATAAATTGTAATAATATCTTTTTTGTTGTCTTTCACTGGAAATTAATTGTATTTTATATATTTATCTGAATAAAGAATAAAAAATATATACAATGTTATCGTGAGATCAATATTTTCTTATCGTATGTGTAAACTTAGATTTCTTTTACATTTAACAACGTATATATCAAATTGAAAGTTTAATCACATTTCATAATATATTCTTGTTTATATGAATTTTGATACGTTTCATCATTACAAGAAAATATCAAATGTTTTAAATATTGACAAAGGGAATGAAAGGGTGGTTACGAATACTTCCGTTGACTGATTGTATCTAAAATAGAAGGTAATAATTATTAACAATTTTATATTTTATAATTTGAAACAAGTTTCAATATTTTATATATATTAACAAATATTGTTATATATTTTTGTTTCCTATTAAAAAATTCTAACATTATTTATCAATCAATTAAATATCCAAAAAAGAAAACATTCACATGTGGTTCTAGTTTAATGTAAATTGAAACAATAAAATTATTAAAATATAATTTTAATAATAATAATAATAATTTATTTATATATTTAATTAAATAAAATATATTAATATTTTAATATTATTGATATTGAAATATTATTATAATTATTATAATATTATTTAATAATAATATTTAATAAATTTAATTATATAATATTATTATACTAATTATATATTAATTTAATTTATTAAAATAGAATTTTAATAATTTTCAACAATTCAAACAATACCTAAACAATGAAATTATAAAATTATATTGTATCATATCAATTGGATAAAAAATTTTCTGTGTAGTATAAAAAAAAAAAACAAGACATGCATATGTAACTATATATAAACACGCACCACATTGGAAATGGATTTACGCCTACCCATCTATATATATATATATATATATATATATATATATATATATAATACGAGATTGACCATAATGTGTCCTATCAACCCGTAATCGCGTATTTACCTCGATAAGAGATTGTTCGCAAGAATAAATTCAATCAACGTATAAAAATCTAGATTGTGTGTATCGAATACAAAAAGTGGAAGGGAGGAATGAGGGATGGGGGCCTTAATGTAAGAATGGCACAATTTTCTTTCAATAGGGGTCTACTACTCGTATTATTATACTCAAATTATGTTATTCAATATGTTGAATTTTGTACGTTTGATTCTTTCATTGATTTTTTGTTTACCTCGACAAAAGCTTCGATCAATTTAATTACATTTATTGTTGAGCATAATCAAATTGTTAGAAAATGAAAAATGATCTATTCATATACAAAGTTTAATTAATGAATAATACATTTATATTTATATTATTATTATTATTATTATTATTATTAAACTGATTGTAATATCGAGTATAGGGGTTCGAGTAGGATAACCTGGTTATATTTAGACAAATAATAAAGGATTTCTTTGAATGTGTTTGTATATCGATAAATATGTATTATCAATGTTCTCAGAAATATGTAAGAAGTATTTTCTCTTGATTGATGAGTGAAAACATTTGTTAACGTCGATCAATCCATTTATTATTATTATTTTTCTTTTTCTTTTTTTTTTTTTTAAATCAAAGTTCGAATAACATGAAATTCAGGATAAACGATTTATTTGAAATTAATCTTGTCTATTTTCTTTCTATATTATCACTTCTTGCTTTCTTTCTTTTTTTAGATAAAAATATGAGGAGGACCAAGAAACAAAATTAAAAAAAAAAAAGAAAATTTTTTTAAATAATTTACAATTATTTTACTATTTAGCATTAGTAAACAAGTATTCTCTATAATATTGTGAAGGTAACAGTAAAGATGATATATATGAGTAGTTTGCTATACGAAACACATTTAAAAGAAATAACCAGTGATGTCTTGAAGAAGACGACTACTAAAGCGAATGGCAACACAGACCGTTATCTCAAACATGTACATTGATAAACTTGAAACCGCACTTCTATAGTACATACACATACATATCTAAGGAATGTTTCTCGCATTAGAAGGTAGAAATGATATTCTTCAAAATCTTCAAAAATTCTTTCTACAAAAAAAAAAAAATATAACAATTTTTCAAAACTTCAACTAATACGATGATTTTTGTATCAATCAAAAAAGAAAAAAAAGAAAATCCTTGATTTGATTCCTAAATTACACGATTGATATCAACCAATCCTATGAGACTTATACACGTGAATAGATAATTTGAAATGATAAAAATAATCGAAAGATATAATATTTACAATACATTATAAAAATAGATTGTTTGTTTTGTTTTATTTTTATTTTTATTTTTATTTTTCTAAGTAGAATCAACGTGTTACGTTTTGATAAGAAAAAGAAAATAATCAAAGACGATCGTTTATCTGTAATCGTTTAATTCTGTGCAAATATATTAACGTATTTCTATCATAATAGAAAAATGAGATCTAATTTTAATGAGAGAGAGAGAGAGAGAGAGAGAGAGAGAGAAACATTCTTCAAGATATTTTTTACATTTAATTGATTACACAATAGTATGAACGATTAACAACAAGTTAGTTTGCTGTCGCGGTTCAGCGACAATGAGAGCGAACATTTACGTACGTAAGTGCTACTTATCTGAACGAGATCAAGAATCGAAAGCGGGTTAATGCCAAACACATAATGCAAATATAGTTCTTGTTTTTTTTTCTAACGTCATGATTACGATATTCTTACTTGGTGCAAAAAATATCCTTTTGCTTCAGGAAAAATAAATCAGCAAGTACAATGCGTTAAAAATAAATAATTAATTGATATTGAATTGTATCATTAATTACAAAAACGTATTCAACAAATTTTAACAATCGAATATAGAGAACACGTGTTTAGTTTGAATGAAATAATAATTGGTGCTAACCTCGTCTGTAATAATGGGTGTCTTGTCCATGGTATCGTTGATAGGACTAGGTGGTGACGTAGGACTAGCACTAGGGCTGACTTGAAAACCTTTCGATTCCTTGGCAGGTCTCTGAGGTGACACTCTGGCTGGGAAGCTCAGGGTCTTCGTCCACTGGGACAAACCACGCACCATTTTCTCGCCTACTACTCCTTCACCACCACCACCTCCTCCCCCTCCTCCTCCTCCTCCACCACTACCACCACCTTCTTCCTCTTCTTCTTCTTCTTCACCACCGTCCCTCCAACAAAACGCTTTCACTTGTATAGCACCGATTTTTCCCGATTTTGTTTATCGAGCTGTCAAACGAGACGCTCGATCACAAAAATGACTAAATTAATTTCCCCCGAAATTCTTATTTATTGGTTTAGCACTGTGTTCTCTTTTACGAACGTTTTAATGAGAACGAGAGAGAAGCAGAAAGAGAGAGGATAAAAATGAGTACACGCGTAAGTGAAAAATTACGGTTAAACACCGATTCTAATTTCGATTCTAATTCCGATGGTCCGCGCGTCACGGCTCTCTCTGACAGACTGAACGCAAGCTGCTGCGAATAGTTGGTCGTCGGGAAACAGCTGCGCCGGGCCCGCTGGACCGAGCGCCGTGATTGGTTCCCTTGAGTGAGAGCGACGAATCGAGTAGTTTATCCCCCACCCTAAACCCTATGAGAAACGAGGATAGACGATTTGGGGTCCGACGAGCAACGGCTTTGAACGAACGAGGACAGATAAAGAAAGAGAAAGAGAATTATCCGCAGAACGGTTCTCTATATCTATCTTCATCTCTCTCTCTCTCTCTCTCTCTCTCTCTCTTTTTCTCTCACTCATTTCTTCTCGCATGCTACAAAATGCACGATACCGGTGTAATTTTCATGATATCCTCTTCTCGTACCGTCTACCAAACCCCCTCACTTCTCACTTGCTTTCTTATACTTCCCTTAGTAAGAGAGACTCTTTTTCTTCTATCTCTCTCTTTTTCTCTCTTTCCAAGTCTACCAGTCTCCGTTAATGATAGAAAGAGAAAGAATGAGAGAGTAAAAGACAAGGTGGAAGATGGTGAATGGACGACGAGAAGTACACTAGCACATACATATACATATACCTGTATAAATACATGTATGAAGAAGAAGAGAATCTTCCAATGTGGCACAAGAAGATGTAACCGTGATTTTCCTTAGCCACCTTCCACAAATTGTTCCTTTTTTGAAATCATTCGTTATTTTCTTCATTATTTCTATATCTCTTTCTCTTTCTATCTTTCGAAATAATTTATAGAAAATTGTTGTTATTTAAAACTATTTTATTATATTAATTAAAAATAAACTAGATTATTTTCGAAATCTTTTATGTAATATATTTCATTATTAAACTATGACAATTTATGTAAATTTTTCTCGATTTTAGATCGAGAAGGTTGATACTTCTAGCCTTTTACCCTTTCAAGTAGAAAAAGAATGTATTTATCTCTCTTTCTCTTTTCTTTATCGCTAGAAAGAGACACACGTTTGTACATACGTATGTATGTTGTGTTATACCCTATATGATCTCGTGTTGCCAACTGCAGATTCGAGTATAAGTGGGGAGAGAAAACGACATTGTGCAAAGTTGTGTGAGGCGACTTTGCACATTTACGAGAAGTTTAAATGTGTTGTAAGTATATACGGACAGGATCTAGCGAGTTGCGGCCTTCTTCGACCTTCCCCCCACCAATCGTGCCACAGACGGGCCCCTCTTCTCGATCCTGATGTAGCGAACAGCCCAGCATCGGCAGCAGCCGGTGGGTCCGGTATCGAACACCTTTCCTTAAGATTTCCTCCCATTCGAACTCGATATTCTTACGCTATCGATCGACGTTTGAAAGCGAAGCCGAGTATGAATATCGATTAACTCTTATAAATTGTGTTTTATTCTTTTTCTCTTTCTTTTTTTAGAAAATTCATTTTTATTATCATTTGTACGATTTGTCTTATAATTCTAATTCAAAGTATTGATCTTTCATGATAGAAAAAGAAAAATACAGAATTGTTCCTTTTTTCTTTTGGGCCCACATTGTGTACCGCACATATACCATCTGTTCCCATTATTCGATTTCGTGTCACGGACCCCGTAAGGCCCAAATTCTTTCCACGATCGATAGTGAAAGATTAAAGTTTGAACATTGTCTGTTATTATCCTGTGCTACCACGTATCATCTATTTGTAATTTATAGTCAAAAACAGATGGGATTGTGTACAACCCTTTTAAAATGATTATGTTAATTACATTAATATATACTCGAAACAACCCCTATGAAAAAGATTACGATCGGAAGCATATTGCACGAATTATTATCAAGTTCGATAAAAAATCAAAAGAAAGAAAGAAAAACAAAAAATCTTTTTTATTTGTAGAAATCAAGATTTGTTAGGGTTTCGATACAATTATATTAATTTTCAATGAAACTACCATGTTTTTTAGTGGAGAAAAGAAACCAATTCAAGATTTGAACGTATACTTTTCGAGATACCCTTTTAAAAAAAAAAACCAGAAGGCGGCAGGTGTTCTCGAGCTAACCATGTGTATATATATGTTATGTACGTGTGTATAACTTCCTAATCCCCAATTTACAATCACAAATTTTATATTTCAATTCTCTTCTCTTGATAACAATCGAATCACGATGAACAACCCATTTTTTTTTTACAGGTAAAAACCATGATAAATATCATCGAGACTAACACGAGGAACAAGGTAAGAATTAAAACGGAGGAATCGAATGTTATTTGATATATTATTGAACACTCGATACTTTTCATTTTTTTTTTTTTTTTTGCTTTTACTCGCAATTCGATCGAGGTTAATCTTACAGTAGGATGTAAAACTTTTCTATGGGCATATAATTGGTGCATGACGTTTCTTGTATATCAAGGGACTACTCGATGAAACTGTTAACAATCAGGTTATTACGGTTGTTCTGATTTTCTTCTATATATATATATATATATATATATCTTATTTGAAAAAACAATAATAAAGGTTTTCCTTAGTAGACAAATTTTTACAGTTTAATTTCTAACATATGTGTCTCTGTTATTTTATTTTGTTTTCATTTTTTATTCATTTTCTAGTAATCTTAAATCGTATCTGACAATACTTGAATGTGTTTGAAAGAATAATAGTTAAAATAAAAAGAAAAAATTTGATACATTTTTAGAAAATCTATTAAGAAAAATGAAAGAAAAGACAACCCAAGATTTAGAATAAAAATTTATTAGGTTTTACGAGTATAATGTATTATGTTATGACACGTAGTGTCCTTTAACCTAAGCTTTTCCAAATATTAAATTTTAGAAATGTTCTCTTACGTGTCAAAGCATATATTTCATTTTGAAATTTGTTAGAAAAGAAAGAAAGAAAGAAAAGAAGGAAGGAAGGGAAAAAAAAACAGGAGTTTTCGCAATTAGTTCGTGATCGAAGAAACACACGTGTTCGATCCACACGTGTTCACTTCCCCCTTCTGCCACCCCCTTGTTCACCACCACCTTCGCGTTCATCTCTTCTCGTCACGTCTCAGAAAACGAGAGAAGAAGCGTTTTTCAGAAAAGACTGACAAAGAGAAAAAAGATGGAAAAAAAATACGTTCAAGGTGCCGATACGAAAAGCACCTGGACAGAAAGAAGGAGCTCGAGGGACCATTCGAGCATTCGGAGGATAGGAGGAATAATATTGGGAAGTTTGCAGCTGTCACAGCAGCTGCAGCAGCACTCTTCCCTTATTCACAATCTGACCGGCAGCTTTTCTGCATCCTCCTCCTCCTCCTCCTCCTCCTCCTCCTCATCCTTCTCCTGTACTCTTGCTCTTAATCTTCCACCAATACCGACGTACTCTTCAGGTAAATTCGAGGTTGCCCAAAACGAAAAGTAAAAGAAAAAGAAAAAAAAAAACAAGGGCCCTTCTTTTCGTCTTTGCACCTTGCACCGATTTATTTCTTCATTTTATCTTTTATCTTTTATAAAAATGTAGATATGTAGATAAAATCATTATATTAGTCACTAAAATATTTTGATCATTATCTACAAATATTTTAATATAAATATTTTAATATATATATATATATATATATATATATATATATATTTTTTTTATACATATTTTAGTATATTATATATATTTATTATATTTTTTATATATATTTTAGTATAATATTAATATATAAATTTTAATACAAAATACACGTATATCATATACATATGTAATATTTTCATTGGAAATGATATTTGCTTGAATTCAATTAAGGTATTTCAAAACACACAATTTAAAAAAGTTAGCATTTGTGTAAGTAAAGATGGAATGTTTCAAAAAAAAACTCTTCTGTCCCTTTTAGTTTGTTCTTTCTCACTCGATCATTTCCCGTGACATCAAGTAACATGTGGGTGTATCTAACTAACCTAAGTTGCGCTAGGTTCGGACATAGACATCATCATCATCATCATCATTATCATCATCATCCCCTTTTTCGAAAGCAACCACCGAGACCATCCTCTGAGCTGGAATGCTCGTATCGGTCAGCTGCTCCTTCTATAAAACTAAACTTCCTGTGCCACGTGCACATCTGCTCCTCTTATGCGAGTGAATTTACAACTCGTGTACACGTATGTATATATATATATATATATATATATATATATATATATATATATATATATAT